GATTTTGAGAACTACCTGGTCAAATGGGGAATCAAGCATTCCAGAGCGTCCGTCGCATACCCCCAGGCAAATGGCCAGGTAGAAAATATGAACCGAACTATCATGGATGGTATGAAGAAGAAGCTGGAAGAATACTCCTCATCGTGGCCTGATCAGTTGAATTATATTCTGTGGACTTACAGGACCACACCCCGAACGGCCACGGGAGAGACTCCATTTGCCCTTGCCTATGGTTTCCAGGCCAAAGTACCAACGGAGATCCTAGTTCCCACACACCGAACGATGCATTACAGCCCAGAACAGAATGAAGATAACTTACGGGCTGAATTGCATTTCATAGAAGAAAGAAAGGATCTGGCAGCGGCACGAATGGAAGAGTATCACAGAGCCAAAAGAAGATACTTTGATAAGCAAGTTAAAGTTCGTTCAATCGAGGTAGGGGACCTGGTGATAAGAAAGCGAGAGAAAAGCAAACCGCTCGAAGGGGGCAAAATGGCACAAAATTGGGAAGGCCCCTACCAAATATGTAAGAAGTATGCTTCAGGAACGTTTGGCCTACAAAATACCGAAGGCCGACCGGCAGGAACTTGGAATGTGGAGCATCTAAAGAAATTTTATCAGTAAAAACGGTTGTTTCCACCTCTAAAAAAGGGGGGGGGGGGTATAGAGAGGGAGACATAACTTCCACACAAACTCAGCCCATGGTTAACTCGATCATTCCGGATGACCGAATGACGAACGGGTTAACAACATGGAAGGAAAATCAATTCTCAGCTTAGGGAGTTTTTGACCCTAGATTTATGAAAGAATAAAGGGATCAAAAACGGCTTGAAGAATTGAGGCTCAGAAAATCGGTGCCCGTGGTTAACTCAATCATTCCGGATGACCGAATGACGAACGGGTTAACAGCATGGAAGGAAAATCAATTCTCAGTTTAGAGAGTTTTTGACCCTAGATTTATGTAAGAATAAAGGGATCAAAAACGGCTTGAAGAATTGAGGCTCAGAAAATCGGTGCCCGTGGTTAACTCAATCATTCCGGATGACCGAATGACGAACGAGTTAACAGCATGGAAGGAAAATCATTCTCAGCCAACGGCTGGGAGTTTGACACTCAGATAGTCTCATCTCAGCGGTTAATATGAGAATCGATTCTGGAAAACCGAATGACGAACATATTAGCAGTTTGGAGGGAGCCATTATTTCAGCAAGAGTTTTGACCCTGTAATTACGCATTGATGAAGGGATCAAAATGGCCTGGAGTTCGAAGGACAGTGATTCTCACCTCAGCTTGTTAACACGTAGAATCATTCTGGATGACCGAATGACGAACGGGTTAACAGCTTGGAGGGAGCTGAGTCGTCAACTTAGCCAAAGTCGACCCTGTAATTACGTACGGGCAAAGGGATCAAAACGGCTTGGAGATGGTGTCAAGACTGTAAGATATGGATTAACCGAGCGACGTTCGGATAAGGTACGGATTGTCGCCCGGGGAATCAGAACTATGGTTTTGAAAAATCTCGCCTCAGTCATAAAACTTGACTTGGAATCTAGTCGCCCTTTTATCTATAAGTAAGGAATGACCCAAATTCGGTGATCTTGCTTACAGTTCGAAAAGGGTTACCTCAGACCCCTAATATGGATGATACGAGCCAGAGAGAACAGTTCGGAATGCATCGGAATTATGGATTTGGAAGGGAGATAGCCTCACCTCAGCTTGTTAACGCATGAAATCATTCTGGATGACCGAATGACGAACGGGTTAGCAGTTTGGAGGGAGCCCCTATCCCAGCTGAGAGTTTGACCCTGTGATCACGATCAAAACGGCTTGGAGGAATTCACCTCAGCTAAGAGTTTTGAACCCGTGCGTCACGAACAGGAAAAGGGATCAAAACGGATTCGGGAAAGGTGTCAGATATAAAGATATATGAGCCGAGTGAGGTTCGGCCACGTAGAAAAGATTGTGAACAAAAAATCAAAGGAAGAATAGAAAAAATACAACAGACAAAGGAAAGAAGTCCAGTTTATTCTTCGGCATTACTAGCCGGAATATACAAGAAGAATGAATATACAAGAATGAATATACAAGAAAAGAGACAACAAATGAGGAAAGAAGGCTACACTACTGGAGGATTGCCGTTCGGGGAGGATGTTGGCTGAGAGTTCCCTACTTGCACTGCATCATCAGGCGCTGCTTTGGACCTTTTCTCCATAATGCGATCATATGTATTCCCGAACAGATCGTCAAAGCCTAATTCGTCGGGATCGAACGGCTTGGGGAAATGCTCGAGGATCAATTCAAGGTTCCTGTCCAGAAGCAGGTCCTGACTCTGCTTCACAGTTTTCTCGGTCAGGACATCCAAAAAAGATTTCCCTTCCGGCGTGCTGTCCAGGAGGTCGATCCCTGCTTTGATGGGATCTTCGCTTTCACGCAAGAATTGCCCAAGGTGAGGACCCAGGAATTACCGGGCCGTGTTCTCCAGAGCGACGTTCAGGCCCTTTCCCCGTTGAAAATCCACTATCGATTGTTGAGCAATCTGGGAAGTATTGACCGTGTAAGGTTCAGGCAGATGGTCGCCAACAGTTTTGTCAAATTTAATACCAGCGGACTCAGCAGCCCGCACCTTGGCCCGGAGTTCTTTAAGCTCCCGATCGTGACGATGGGACATCTCCTGCATCTCGGCCAGAGCAGCTTTTGCCTTCTCACCCTCTTTGGCCTGCTCTTGGAGATCGGCCGCTAACTTCTGAGCGGCAGAAAGGAGGACCTGGCCATCATCTCGATCGCTGGCCAGGGCTTTCATCTCCTTCTCAGCGGCAAGAAAGGCCTTGTGATAATACACGCCAGCCTGAAAACAAGATTACAATGAAAGTCAGATAGGGTAAAACATGAATAGTAGAAAGGCATGGGTCGGAATGAAATGTACCTTGAGTGCTTCCTGGTGACCTGCTTCAAAAAGATCCGACCAGTGAATCAAGTTGGTGAAGCTCGGGGGAACTTTGATCGCAGTATGACACCACATAGAAGATGGCATCAGCCCGAACAGATACCTCCCCTCTGATCTGGGCCCCATATTTGAAAACTCAACAAACATCCGATCATCGATCGGTGTGTTAGTAAGAACCGGGTTTGAGGTTTTAGCAGGTACCGATCTTTTGGTTTCAACATCCGGACCGGTCAAATTAACCACATGGTCGATCGGGATCAGGTGATCGCCATCATTTCCTTTGCGCTTTTTGCGGGTTTGCTCCGCCGAGTCACGATCGACTATCATCTTCTCCTTCCCTTTAGCAGAAGAGATAGAGCGCCAGACGGGTATGGGAGATATCACACCTACAAGAAAGAGAAATAAAAGATAAGAAGTTGAATTGTGAGAGCGAAGGATGATCGGGTTAAAACCCTACTATGCTTACCGATTCCAGCAGATAACATGCTCGAAGTAGTGACAAAGCTGCGAAGACTTCTGGTCCCTCCCATCCGCAAAGACTCAGCTTGGGAGCGTAGAACGGCGTCCACCCTGGGCAGAGAATCCCGAACGGGATATGCGTTCCACCTATCCGGGAATGGCAGAGAATCACCAACCCGAACGAACAAAAACCGCTCCTCCCAATCAGCCTGCGGGGTAACATTCTCTGTGAACAGCTGACAAGCAAAACGAGCTACCAGTTTCAGGTACCCGGTCGTCCAGTAGGGCTGATAGCAGTAATGATAAAGGAACAGATCGACGCTTGGGGTGATCCTCAACTCGTGGCACCGGATAATGAAGCCTGTCAGAATGCGGTAGGTGCTGGGCACGAACTGAGCGGGCAGTACAGCAACCCGGCGTAAGAACTCCACTATGTATGAATGGAGAGGGAACCGAAGTCCAGCAGTCAGAGCATCAAGGTGCACTAGCACGTGCCCCGGTCGGTGCCTCATAGGGTGCCGAATGAATCCGACATAGTATTCTCTTGGTGGGGGCAACAACTGGCTAAGTTGCCGTTCAACATCTACTGGGAGACGTTGTTTGTGTTTGCGTATGCGATTGAAGTGTAGGGCAATGCGGGGTGGCCGCTCGGGCATCCCCTTGTTGTAAACTTGGAGGTCATCTCCGGACAGACATCCGTCCTCCTGTGGTTGTTCGATATGTTTGCTGGCCTGAGGATTGGCGGGTTTAGGTGTTTGGGACGAAGAGCCTTCGGCCTGGTTACCAGCGGATGTTTTGCTTTTGCGAATCAAAGGCAACTCTTCAGATTCTGAGCTAGAGGAGTAGTACATAAAAATGCTGGAGGAATTCTGGGAATTCTAGAGAGAGAAGGCTTGAGAGTATGCAAGGGAGTTCTGGGAATTTTAGAGAGAGAAAGCTCGAAAGAAAAATGAGAAAACAGCAGGAGAAATTAGGGGAAGCACCTCTCTATAAATAGGGAAAGTGTCGCACAAATTCCTAATCCATGAGCAACACGTGGCATTGGGTGGTTACGATTAATCTGGGGCATTTATGATTCATTTTTTGTGCACGTACCCCGGACGGGCTTACAGAGGATTAGCAAAGATCACAGGGACTTGTTGTTTAGAAAAATGCTAAGTCCTGAATGTCAACCTGAAGCCCGAACGACTACCAACTTATGAAGAGGCCCAGGTGGAAAGAACACTAAGAAAACGGCTAAGTCCTAAACATTGGTCTGAAGCCCGAACGGCTATCAATGTTATGAAGAAGCCCAGGTGCAAAGAAAACCAAGAAAACTGCTAAGTCCTAAAAGTTGACTTGAAGCCCGACCGGCTATCAACGTCGTAAAAGCTATCCTAAGGATTGATCTGAAGCCCGAACGACTGAGTACCAGAGAGAAGGGGTTTTTCCTTAAATAAATCATCAGAACTTTCTAATTCCCGAACGGCGATCAACGGCATTAAGAGTAGTCGAGCAAGAAATAAAGTTAGGACATTGGTTAAGTCCTACAAAATGGGCTGAATCCCGAATGACGAGTAAATCATGCATTAAAGACAGAAAAGATAGTACACAAAATTTCAGGCAAAAAAGGGATATATATTCATCGGTTCTACTGACCGGGAAGTACAAGCTATTTAGAGAAAAAGAAAATTACAACAAGTAATGAAAAAGTACATATAAATTATTGGCTAGGGGCCATTTCATCTCCCCCTTCGTCCTCGTCTTCATCATCATCAGACAGGGGCTCAGGCTCTCTCCCAGCAGCCCGATCGGCTTCCCTTTGCTGAGCTCGCAGGAATTTCTCAAACTGAGTCTGGATAATGTCGTCTGTGGGGAGATCAGAAGCCTGAACCGGCCTCCCCAGATGATTTTGAAGCTGAGTAAAGAAGGGACGCAGCAAGACCTGGCCAATTTTGCCATAAAGGTCTGAGACAATGGAGTCGTTCCATTTTTTGGCCTCGGGGTCCTTATCCAAGAGGGCCACCCCTGCCGATAGCCGACCAGCGCCTTTGGGGAAACCCTTCAAGTACGCCCCAAAGGCGAACGAGATTTGGGCCCTTGCATGATCATCCTTGATGATGGAGAATTCATCAGAGGATTTAAACGTGTCCCGGACGGCGGACAGATCCACGTTCACTTCATAGGGACCGTCCGGGATGCTGGATGGCATTTCTTCGAATTTGACCTGTGCGGCCTCAACAGCAAGGACCTTCGCCTGGGAAGCTGCGAGTTGGACCTGAAGGGTACCGAGCTCAGCATCCAGCCTCTGCTTTTCCTCCGCAAAGGCTTTCCGTTCGGCCTCCAGAGAGGCGATGGCGGCAGCAGCATGTTGCTCAGCAGAAGACTGGGCAACAATCAGTTCCCGCTCCTTGGCCAGACGGGCCTCCCGCATCTGAAGGGTGTACAAACCCATCTACAGAGTACCGTTCGAGAGTTAGTACTGATTGCAGAGAATAAAATAGAGACAAAGCGCAAAAGACAATGTACCTTCAGAGCAGTCAGAGCCAGACATTCTTCAGATTGCTCGACCGCCAACTGAGGAAGGGAAAAGTTGTTGAACCAAGAGGAGGTCGACCAGATCTGGCTCGCGGTAGAGCCGGCCCTCTCTAATACCTCATGGACAGGGTCGGATAGGGAGATCCGCTCGACCTGACCTGTAATATGGTCGGTATGGGTCTCACCAGCATTCGAGGGTTCCCCCCGAACGGAGTCGAAATGCTGAGAAAATTGGTGTAGTTGGTCAGAGCCGAACCAGTCGTCGACCAGCATGGCCTCGAATTGGTCCTGGTGGACATGCTGTATTGGCTGAGGCTCTGGAAGCGGTTCAGAAGGGGCAGCTTCCTGAGCGGGAATAATGGTGGGAGTAGGTTGGGGGTTCTTCCGGGATTTTTTCCGCTTACAGGCCCCACCGGCTGCGATAACTCTGCTGTCATCCATAGGTAGATCTGGGTTTGGTGCTGAAAAAAGACAAAGGAGAATGTTAGTATCGAGCGGCCTTAGCGTGTGAGAAACTAGAAAAAGGAATAAAAGAACGTTTCTCGCACGGGGAATATGGGGAAATGAAGCGGCAGCCGTCGAATCGCAGCATGGGGAACTGATTGCTTCTGTACCCCGATCGCCATTCGGTGTATTATAACATTGATATACTTCCTAATGCACTCACTATCGTTCGAGACATCGGAAGTGGGGGACTTGTGTTGGGATATTGACCTAGAGGCCCAATACCCAGATCGGGAAGGCCCAAGATATCCGGCCCAAGCAACGGGCCATCACTCTATGATGAATAGATCCAGCAAGAAGTAATACCGAACCGAGTTCGGCCCAAATAAAGATTGGCCCAGTAAGAAGACATACCGAACGAGGTTCGGGCTATATATCATACTTTGGGACAGATGCAACGACCAACCAGCAAGTGGCCAGATGCAATTAATGCCAGACTATGACATCAACAAGTGGAAGCATGGATGACCAAGTCGGTGGAACAACGGCCAATCAGCAAGAGGCAGCCCATGCTCTCCATTAGTATAAATAGAAGGTTTCAAGTCATTGTAAGGGTTAGCATTTCAATACTCAAGCTCTAGAATAGCATCATTTGCTCTTATTTCTTGTATTAAAGCATAGTTTCCGACTTACCGATCGGGAAATTCCTTGTAATCAGATTGGTTAATTAATACAAGTGAGCTTTCGAGTTTTAGTGAGTTCAGATCTTATATTTCTTTACATACTTTGATTCTGGGTCATTCCTGATATATCCAAAGTTCGTGTTGGGCTTTCGGATCTACGGGACTTACCCTCAACAATAATGTTTCAAGAATAACATTCTCAACAAATAAACATGATATTTTAATCAAATTTCATTACAAATATGTGAATGGTAATAAGTTATGAACAATTGAGCATTAGATGAGACATTTCAAGTTTTTGTTTTTATTATTATGAAGTAAGAATGTTTTTACTTGGACTATAATTCCTCCCAGACCAGACCAGAACAGATCAGACCAGATCAGACTTGGATAGTTATAAAAATACAAAGAAACCAGATCAGACCAGATCAGACTAGACCAAACCAGACCAGCAAATTACGATCCAAATAAAAACATCTTAAATACCAAGTGTGTCTTCTAATAATTAATAGTTCCATCGTTTTCTTATAATTACACAATTGATTGATGGAAATAAAAATTATATAATAAACCTATAAACAATGAGAGAGAGTCACCAAACGATTCTCTAAAGATATGAGTTCACAGGACTACATCTGCTGGGTTTGCGGCCGTCTCCCTAGTTGTCTAGGGCTTGATTTTCCGGCGGGGATAGCTTTCCTCTGGTCCGGCGATAGGGTTCTTTCTCTTTATCGAAGCAGAGTTATTAGTACACTAAGTTGAAATTGCCGAGAGTTAGGTAATCGAGTCACACAGTTCAGGTCTTGACTGTAGGGTTCGTCTGCAACTTCCGGCGGTCATATTCCTGATGGAAACTAAACTAAGGAGGGCGCAGGTTGAGGAAGGGGCACATTGGCGTGAGTGGAAGAAAAGCTAGATAGAGTGTTGGTGAACGAGGAATGGTGGAATACCTTTGGAGCGGCTAAGGCTAAATCTCTGGAAGCTCCGACCAGTGATCATCTAGCTCTTTGTGTAACTGTTCTACAAGCGGAGGTTAGGTTTGGGAGAAAGCCGTTTAAATTTGAGAATAACTCGATTAAGGAAGAGGAGTGTCGGGCAATTGTAAACACTAGTTGGCAAGCGGGTAATAGCTTGGATATATGCTCTAGAATTGCTTTTGGCGGCCAAATCCTTGTATCAAAAAATCTATTTGTACACGTTCTTATACATATTTTTATACACGTTCTATCCATTTTTTGTCTGTGAATGGGCTTGTTTTGTTTGTCACAGACAAAACACGCAAGTTTTGTCTGTCACAGACGTTCACAGACAAAAAATATGACCTGCCACATACAAATGTATAAAAACGTGTATAAGAACGTGTACAAATAGAATAGTTGATCCTTTTATATCCAATTGGTATCAACATGACACCACTATGTTGACCGTACACGCCCAATTGAGCACCACTAATTTGAATCCGCATTATAGAGAGTATTACATATGGCGGCCAAGATCTGTTTGCCTTTTTACGTAATTTAAGATACTTACTGTAGATTATATGAGAAGTAAGATGTTTTGGTACTGTAGCGGTACGATCGACCCCTTTATAGGGGGAGGATCACCGTCTTATGCAGTACGATCAACCCCTCACCGCCATCGTACCATGGGCAGAGGGCGCCTGTAAGACCCTCACATATTCTTGATCACGGTCGAGTCCGCCCATGCCTTTACACGGGGAGGATCACCGTCTTATGCAGTACTATCGGCCCCTCAGCACCATCGTACAATGGGCAGAGGGCGCCTGAAAGACCCTACACATTCTTGATCACGGTCGGGTCCGCCCATGCCTTTACAGGGGGAGGATCACCATCTTATGCAGTACGATCGGCCCCTTAGCGCCATCGTACCATGGGCAGAGGACGTCTATAAGACCCTCACACATTCTTGATCACGGTCGTGTCCGCCCATGCCTTTACAGGGGGAGGATCATCGTCTTATGCAGTACGATCAACCACTCAGCGCCATCGTACCATGGGCAGAGGGCGCCTGTAAGACCCTACACATTCTTGATCACGGTCGGGTCCGCCCATGCCTTTACAGGGGGAGGATCACTATCTCATGCAGTACGATCGGCCCCTCAGCGCCATCGTACCATGGGCAGAGGGCGTCTGTAAGACCCTCACACATTCTTGATCACGGTCGAGTCCGCCCACGCTTTTACAGGGAAAGGATCACCGTCTTATGCAACACGATCGGTCCCAAACCGCCATCGTATCTAGTTCACGGTCGGGTCCGCCCATGCCTTTACAGGGGGAGGATCTCCGTCTTATGCAGTACGATCGGCCCCTCAGCGCCATCGTACCATGGACAAAGGGTGCCTGTAAGACCCTCACACATTCTTGATCACAGTCGGGTCCACCCACGCCTTTACAGGGGGAGGATCACCGTCTTATGCAATAAAACCGGCCCTCAACGCCATTGTACCGTGGGTAAAGGGCGCCTGTAAGACCCTCACACATTCTTGATCACGGTCGAGTCCGCCCATGCCTTTATAGGGGGAGGATAACCGTCTTATGCAGTACGATCGGCCCCTCAGCGCCATCGTATCCAGTTCATGGCCAGGTCTTCCCACGCCTTTACAGGGGGAGGATCACTGTCTTATGCAGTACAATTGGCCCATCAGCGTCATCGTACCATGGGCAGAGGGCGGCTGTAAGACCCTCAGACATTCTTCATCACGGTCGGGTCCGCCCACGACTTTACATGGGGAGGATCACCGTCTTATGCAGTATGATCGGCCCCTCAGTGCCATCGTACCATGGGCAGAGGGTGCCTGTAAGACCCTCACACATTCTTGATCACGGTCGAGTCCGCCCATGCCTTTATAGGGGGAGGATAACCGTCTTATGCAGTACGATCGGCCCCTCAGCGCCATCGTATCCAGTTCATGGCCAGGTCTGCCCACGCCTTTACAGGGGGAGGATCACTGTCTTATGCAGTACAATTGGCCCATCAGCGTCATCGTACCATGGGCAGAGGGCGGCTGTAAGACCCTCAGACATTCTTGATCACGGTCAGGTCCGTCCACGCCTTTACAGAGGGAGGATCACCGTCTTATGCAGTATGATCGGCCCCTCAGCACCATCGTACCATGGGCAGAGGGCGCCTGTAAGACCCTCACACATTCTTGATCACGGTCGAGTCCGCCCATGCCTTTACAGGGGGAGGATCACCGTCTTATGCAAAACGATCGGACCCTCAGCACCATCGTAGCATGGGCAGAGGGCATCTGTAAGACCCTCACACATTTTTGTTCACGGTCATGTCCGCCCACGCCTTTACAGGGGGAGGATCACCGTCTTATGCAGTACGATCGACCCCTCAGCATCATCGTATCCAGTTCATGGTCGGATCCGCCCACACCTTTACAGGGGGAGGATCACCGTCTTATGCAGTACGATCGGCCCCTCAGCGCCATCGTACCATGGAGAGGGCGACTGTAAGACCCTCAGACATTCTTGATCACAGTCGGGTCCGCCCATGCCTTTAAAGGGGGAGGATCACCATCTTATGCAGTACGATTGGCCGCTCAGCACCATCGTACCATGGGCAGAGGGCGCCTGTAAGACCCTCACACATTCTTGATCACGGTCGGGTCCGCCCATGCCTTTACAGGGGGAGGAACACCGTCTTATGCAGTACGATCGGCCCGTCAACGCCATCGTACCATGGGCAGAGGTGCCTGTAGCTATAAGACCCTCACACATTCTTGATCACGGTCGGGTCCACCCATGCCTTTACAGGGGGAGGATCACCGTCTTTTGCAGTACGATCAGCTCTCAGCGCCATCGCATCCAGTTCACGTTCGGGTCCGCCCATGCTTTTTCAGGGGGAGGATCACCATCTTAAGCAGTTAACTCCTTGAAGGCATCTTCACGCTCCACGGAGGAAAACTTATTTTTTGGATTATCTGATTGGTTTTACAGCTCCATCCGCTACCACGACCGGCCACTCTGGCACGGCGTGATTGTCATTACGAGTCCCTGTATATATGTGTGTAAATAATAATAATAATAATAATAATAATAATAATAAGAGAAAAAAAGAGGTGGATGCAAGATTCTATCTGGAAAACCTAGAGAGAAAATGAGAGAAAAGGAGACTAGGGCTCCTAAAAATGTCACCTCAACTACAAGTATGGATGAATCCATTGTTCTAAAAATCGGCCTAGTCGGACCGATTAATCGGCCTAGGCGGCCTAGGTGGCCCTAACTGAGAAACACTAATCGGCCTAGTCGGCCATAAAATCGGCCTAGTCGGCCAAAAAATCGGCCTAGTCGGCCGCCTAGGCGCCCCTCAACCGCCCGACTAGCGCCTAGCGAGTTTTAGAACAATGGATGAATCATATCAAAAAACATAAACGGGGCATTGAAACTTGGGTTTGGAGGCGAGAGGCTAGGTGTATGGATGATCCGTTCGGGCATCCAGTCAAACTGAGGTGAATTGAACGGGGGATCGAAACTATGGTTAAAATTCTAACCCCTGGCATAGTACGTCGTACCGTTATAGTGGGACAAACGGGGAAGTTGAACTGTGAAATGGACGTGTCATCATTTCAGCCAGAGACCGACGATCCGTTCGTCAAGAAGACCGAACGGTGGATTCGAAATGGTTTAGAAATGATGTAAAGCAAATGGTGGACCGATTGGTCCTGGGCCAACGGGTTCGAGTCTGTTAGAGTCAAGTCCGTGGAACAACCCGTCCAAAGGATAGGGGGTTCTACAACCACGTCTACAGTGCGTGGCATACACGTTTGTTTGGACTACCCCAACGCCGTGACGGCTAGTTGAGCGTGTTAGTCTTCCCCGACCAACTAGTAAGAGTGATCCGTCCAAATGATATCGGATGGGGGAACTTGGCTTGTTCAGTTTGAGCTGGGGAATAGAGTTTCATTTTCTCTTGATCATCTTATGCAGCAAGAATGACTCTTCAGAGTCGTCGTGCCTCCTCACGGCCGGGCTCGTCAATCCCTGATCTGGGTGGGCGAGCGCCGCTTTATGCAGCACGAACGGGTCTTCAGCACCATCGTGCCTAATCACGGCCGGGCTCGCCGATCCCTGATCTGCGAGGGCGAGCGGCGCTTTATGCAGCACGAGCGGATGGCTCTTCAGCGCTGTCGTGTCTTCTTCTCGGTCGGGTCCGCCCATGTCATCCAGGGTCTGTGTCACGCCCCAGACCGTGTCTGTGCCACGTAGACAACTGTCGTACAACCCAATAAGAATAACCGCAGTTCATCCTTACTAAATTGCACAAGACGTCCGATAGATACATATGCCAAAACCGATTAGTAAACATACACAACAACATCAACATACAATAAAACACATAGCGGAATATAAGTGTTTAATAAGAACCCACACGAGGGTAAAACAAGAGCTCACACGCTCCATTAATTTATAAGTCAAAAAAAGTTCCATGAGCATTATTTAATTACTTAGAAATAGAACCAGAGGAAGCACGAACCACGTCTTCTCTCCATCGATCTCCCGAACAACGGGTGTAGGAAGTAAACTCTAGCTTCAACATGAAAGAGTGGTTCCCGCCGAGGGATCAGTACTACAGAAAAGTACTGGTGAGGGCAAACTGTATGTAATATAAGTAACGTTTCTCACACAGGACCCTCAACATAGGGTGATAGTATATGTATAGGCATAACTCTTGGCTACCCCTTTTCGAAACATATCGTATACGTATATACATATGAGTAAAATATCTGGCTTGTGGGCCCATTTGTCTTTCAAATCATTTAGGCGTAACAGTCTCATTAAATTCACCCTTCCCATGTCCTACCCTCGAGTGAAGTCACCTGCAGGCTAACTCACCCGATAACAAAGATAATTATTCTGGGGCCCTTCGGGCTCCCATATCACAGACATGGTTTAAATTAAATTCCTAGACCAAGGAAAATACCCTATCAGGAACTCATCCCCAATCACGCATGTTTAATCATCTAAAATCATTACTTGAGGTTCACCTACCTCGGGGACTATTCGTCCTTACAATCATAGTTTACATTCTTGGGGCTAACCCCGCCTTGAGGAGTACGCATACCCATCATCCTATGTGTAATTTGCTGGAGGTTATCACACCTCAAGGACTACACGGGCCCTTGTTACCTATATGCAATTTGATGGAGGTTAACACACCTCAAGGACTGCATTTGCCCTTGTTACCTATGTGTAATTTGCTGGAGGTTAACACACCTCAAGGACTACACGGGCCCTTGTTACCTATATGCAATTTGCTGGAGGTTAACACACCTCAAGGACTACACGGGCCCTTGTTACCTATATGCAATTTGACGGAGGTTAACACACCCCAAGGACTGCATTTGCCCTTGTTACCTATGTGTAATTTGTTGGAGGTTAACACACCTCAAGGACTACACGTGCCCTTGTTAACATTTGAGTATAAAGGACTCATCTTGGTCCTACAGAGTTTTACCTGACCTTACTCGGTCCCGAGTATTCACCCGTCATTTATAATCTACCACTTACCTCGACTGATCGTGGTCTACAATTTCTTTGCTAACGACTAGTCCAAGTCTTAGCGTTTAAACCGTATTCGAAGCCTTAGCAACCAACGTGGACGGGTCCTACCCGAACGGCCCACGTAAACCGGTCGGGTATTTACCCTTACCCGGTCGGGTATGGTGAGGCAGTAGGCCCTGGAGCCAATTTTACTTGAGACCCGGTCGGGTCTATACCCATACCCGGTCGGGTCTAGTGTGACAGTGGCTTCTGGAGCCAATACCCGGTCGGGTATTTACCCATACCCGGTCGGGTATCGCCTTTGTCTTGGCGGTCAACGCCCATTTGACCACCCAAACGAAGTCCGATTAACGTGAAATTTTATACACATGTACTTCTTGACGTCCTTGATCCAAAAATACCATTTTGGATCCCTGTAACATCATACATAATTAATTATCACATTTTAAATCGTCAAGTTTACTTAACATGCTTTTCAACTATATTTTATATATAATCATGGCATAACACATACTTGATTATCTTTAATCATTCCATGAAATATATTCTTGATTACTTTAGGTAATCTCATGCCTCACTCAAACTTTATAAAGCATAAATCCATCTTCTCACAACTATTAATAAGTACTTCATACTTATTAATCGTTTATATATTTCGTTCTAGTTTATTCTTCATAACTAGATTTAATTTAAAGACATGTATGATTAAGTACTTGAATCCTTCAAGAATACCATCTTGAATTACCTTAGTTAATGTCCAACTAAATCATTCATGATTATCCTTCATAAAAAATATTAATAATTCTTTTACTCATTAATCATGCCATTTTCACATAACTTATAATCATTATAGCTAATCACTTGTTTAAACACTTTTGAACATTTCTATACATATTCTCATACTAGATTACTCTAGTTATCTCATACATAGTTCATGTATGCATTTTTATACATTTGACAATAATATATTCATGATTAATCCACAAATAAATCTCTTATTCATTAATCATGTAATATTTCCATAAATCATATTCATCATGACTAATCATGCATTTTAGTCCATTTAATCATTCCTCAAATCATGATTATAATTTTATTTAGGTAATCCCACGTTTGACCCAAGAGTTACAAGACACGTAGTCGTCCACTCACCTCGAAATGACGATAGCAAGCTTTATCCTCTTCGTTTGAACTCCAACGACTTTTGGAATTTTCCGGCGAAAACTCCTGCGGCTCCGGTGACTTTTCCGGTCACTCCTAGATTCTTTAAGAAGTCTAGAATACCTTGGTAAAATTCCTAACAAGGTTTCACAAACCAAAAGTGGTATAAATATCAACACCTTCCGAGAAGGTGTTTTCCGGCGAACCGGTCTTACTCCGGTCATAACTCCGTTCATGGTTAAAACTAACCTTCCAACCCCTCATTCTTCATCTATAGGAGTATAGAACAAGCTTATGGTCTATCATATGATTTATAAAATTATATGAGATTAAAATGAAGGAAGAGAAATACTAATGAAGTCATTACCTTGATTTTCTAAGTGTTTCTCTTATTTTCTCACTCTTCCTTCTTCCTTGGAACTTCCTTGGTTTGAGCTTGCTTCAAAAATGGAGGATTATGACCTTGCAGAGGTTCTCCTCTCTTCCTTGAATGTACCGGTCGAAATAATGGGGTAGAGAGGGGTGAGGAAACTTCCTTTGTCTCCTTTGCCAATCAATGTGAGGGGAGGTCCACCTAATGTCACTCTCTCACTCAACCTATCAATTTGAGACCAAATACATCCCTTTCTCCCATGCTATGCAGCTTCTCCAGCTCATTTGGATACACAAAATCGTGGGGTGGCCCCCACTAATGTGGGAGGTCATCCCTTTAAGTCCCAAAGTGTACATCGGTCCCGAAAGTTGTATTTTTCGGACTATTCTAATTAAATTTCATTTTATCGGGCAAATAAAATATATATCATTCTTCCAATTAATATTGGCCCCTAGAATGAATATATATTATCTAACTTTAATTTTGTGGTTCTCGGAACTTATTTCGGGCTGTTATCTTTTAAATAACTAATACTGGTAATGGGACTTCGTTTGCTCAATAGGCCAACTCTAGGGCTCAACATTAAATTATACCATCATATAAATATTATCTATATCAAGATGAATATAGTATTTGGTCCGTAAATATCGGATGGTCATTGCCCATGTGGGCCCAACGTGCATTTTACTGTTCAAGTAACAGTAAAAATGAGAACGTGTTGCCTCTAAAATTCACTCGTCATTTCTCATGACTAAATATGTGGTTCTATATTTTGTGACACTTTAATAAAAATGTTACACTTCCTCTTAAGTGGTCCTAGATGTATGAACACATAAAATCTTATTTGATTGTCCTCATACAAAAATATTCTCAGTGTAGGGTCCTCCAACAATACCCTCCTTTAAGATACCAAATTAATCAATATTATTCATCCCATTATTTTGGGTTCTTAAGGTATTTATATTTCTTCTGTTATAACTTCGTAATCCTGCGAATTAGTAACAGTTCGATAATTAAGGCTCCCCGCTATTAAATAGTGGCCCCGACTCGCTCGAGCGTCCAGTTGTCATTCTGTATATCACTGGGGTCTACGACCCATTCCTACTATCATAATAGCATCGTCTAAGTCAACATTAATATCTTAAACACTTAGAATATCATGAGTGGTCCCCGCTCCCGATGTGGGTCCCGCGTCTGATCAATTATCCTTTATTAATTTAAGACAAGAATTTTATCTTTCTAATTTATCAAGGCTCGTCTAGTCTTGATTTACCTTCTTTAACCATGTACTTGATGAAAAAAAAATTCTGGGTAAAATTCGGGTCCGGTGTTACAGCCTGGACCGCTGCTTTATGCAGCACGAGGGCTGGCTCTTCAGCACTGTTGTGTCTTCTTCTTGGTCGGGTCTGCCCATGCCATCTAGGGTCGGGACCGCCGCTTATCCAACACGAGCGGCTGGCTCTTCAACACCGTCATATCTTCTACTCAGTCGGGTCCGCCCATGCCATGCAGGGTCGGGACTGCCGCTTTATGCAGCACGAGCGGCTGGCTCTTCAGCACCGTCATGTCTTCTTCTCGATCGGGTCCGCCCATGCCATCCATAGTCGGAATGCCGCTTTATGCAACACGAGCGGCTGGCTCTTCAGCGCCGTCGTGACTAGAGCGGGGACTGCACCTCACCTGTCACTTATGCATGCCTTGCATCCATGACTATTCGGAGACATCGATTCAGGGAAGGCAAGGAAGAACGTGAGCACTAGTATACTTTTTCGAGTAGATTCGCAGGCTCACTACTCAAAAAACTGGGGGACTTGTGTGAGGGAATATTATCCTGGCCTACTACTGTTCATAGGTCCAAGGCATCATCCTGGTATGGAGCCCATTCGGCAGGCCCATTTAGGCCTACCCGACCCATTTTGGTCCAACCGGCCCATTCAGGCCTATTTAGGCCTATTGGCCCATTAGAATCACCCTTATTCCCCTCCCCTTCTATAAATAGGGGGCTGGGCTTCCCATTTAGGGGATGGACTTCTTTTCTCCTCCCTTGCTGCTTCTTCTTCTTTTCTTTAGAGATTAGAGACTCCATTAATGGAGCTTCAACATCTGTATATGTATTTTCGTGAGGAGAGTATAATGAGAAAGAGTGGGCTTGGACGTTAGCCTAAAAAGTCCTTTGGTTTTTCTCCCTTTCCAGGTTTCCACGTAAAAATCGAGTGTTATACCAAATTATGTCTATATCTATTAGTTTATGTTGGACTTAAACCCAACAGAATATATAAATACCTTTCGTATTACCACGGAAGAACAAATATAGATTCTGAAGACAAAGAGATGATATGAGATGATGAAAGTTCAACAAGAATGACACAAAAATATAAGAGAATAAATTTACATTATGTTACACACATATAATACACACATATCTATAAAATATAAATAATATAAATGAATTGCTTGTTGTAAAATCATAAAAATGACATGTGTGAATGTCCATCCTTGTAATCAGGACACCTAGCTAGTTCTAATCCTTGTAATCAGGTCACTCATTCACTTCTAGTCCTTGTAATCATAGATAGACAGATGACTTGATTTACATGTGCCAGCAATATTATGTAGAACTATTTGAGGTGATTCATCATCAAGCTCCATCCCTATAAATAGGGGCTTGATGAACTCTTTTAAACTCACTCAGAAAATTCAGATATTAAGAAGAAGTAATTCAGAAGGCCTTATTTGACCCTTTTCTCATATATATATATATGAGAAAAGGGTCAAATAAGGCCTTCTACTATTACGAAGTAGTCACATAAGGTCATGTACTCAATAAAGTGTCTTGTAAGTACCTCTACTTGTATAAAACAATCAAATGAGTCCTAACGACTTATTTAACACCTCCTAATCGCGATTTTAGTTTACATGTTGATTTTTTTGACTTGTATTTCAACCAATCTTAGTTAAATATTCAACATATGTCGTATAATGTATTCTAAAAAGATGGTCAAAAGTACGTTGAAACCGGGATTAAGAGGTGTTAAATAGGTCATTAGGACTCATTTGATTGTTTTTTAGAAGTAGATGTACTTATATGACACTTTATTGAGTACATGACCTTATGTGACTATTTCATAATAGTAGAAGGCTTTATTTGACCCTTTTCTCTCTCTCTCTCTCTCTCTCTCTCTCTCTCTATATATATATATATATATATATATATATAATACTTAATATTTTAATATAGATAACGGATCAAGTTTGGATTTCTTTAATTTAATCTTGTTGTTTTCATTAGCTTTGGGGGAGTTCTCCCCTTTTATTTGATTCTCTTCCTTCATTGAGCATGTAACCTTTTCTCATTTTAAATAAAACTTTTCTTTTTCTCATAAAAAAAATTAATATAGATAACATAAGTACCTTCAAAGCTTTACTCTCCTGAATCTTGATATTAATATGAATAATAATCTGAATAATATACGTACCTTCAGGCTTCATTTCCCCCCCTACTATGTTTATACATAATCCAGTTTTATAAAATGATGTAGCTAAAGAATAATGGAGTTATACGTAAAGGAAGGATGTATAGTGAAAGAAGATACGTAGTGATAAAAAAAAATTATAAAACGAGAGATTTATAATGAAAGAAAGTAACTTTGGAGGTAGAAATAAAATTGAATGGTGAGGTAGTTATGGTATCAAACACCTTATGAAGACATGCATGGACAGATCACATGCAATACTTTGGTGTGTATAATAATATAATAAAACAAAAGTTGCCGACTGTGTACGTACGTAATGGAGTGAGCTTATAGGATCGCAGATTTGGAGGTTTCCAATGATAGTCACGGGAGAAGTTTCATGTATCTTTACGATTAAATAAAGAGAAAATTCCAAGTTTAGGAGTAAAATTTATTAAATATGCAAAAGTAGGACTCATATCTAAGAGTGTAGTTTGCCATACAGAAATTATGAGTAAGGGACAAAAGTGCCCTTAATGAATAGTCAAACTTATTTAGTAAAAATACAAAATAGAATAATAAACTAATTAATGCATTACACAACAAGTCAACAACGTATTTTTCCTTCCCCAACCACAAGTTACCGCCGGCACCATCCAGGGGCAGTACCTGCACCAGTAACCACCGCCCCTAACCACCGCCCTATGCCGCCACTTGACACCGCCGCTAGATGCTGAACGTTGCCGCCGCCGGACGCCGCCAATCTCTGCCATCGCTGGACACCGCCAGTCTTCACCGTCGTCGGACGCTGCCGGTCTCTGTTGTCGCTTGACGCCGCCACCACCTCCATCTTCGCCGCTGCCTTGTTCCAAGGTCACCACTGGCCATCTATAATTCCGACGCCGCCATCTCCATCCCCTAGCCTTAGATCTGAAAATTAAGAATGTTGTAGAATGACAATCTGATATTTATTTATTTTTTTTAATTTTTTTACTCTAAAATTTTAAATTTAATGAATTTGGATCTGAAAAATATATAATAATGTTTATTTTTCGAAAATGGCAAAATTATTATAAAAATGCCATGTTTTTCAATATGTTTGGCAAATAATGCCATTTTACATTTATGAATGTTTTTCAATATGTTTGGCAAATAATGTCATTTTACATTTATGAAGTCGACATTAATTTCGTAAAGATGGCAATTACATGGATATGTTAGGCAAATAATGCCATGTTTTACAAATGTTCTTAATACCATAAAAACACTTTAAAATAGCAATTATGGCAATTTCATATTCAAAGTAGAAAATAATTTGTACACAAATATTGACTGAAATTAAATGTAAAAAGTTATATTTTATAATGTAAAATATAAATTAAAAGTCAATCTTTCAAAAAAGAAATTAAAGGAAGAAAACGACTTTTACTTAACCAAACTAACTCATAAAAGAAATTAAAAGTCAATCTTTCAATTGGAAGAGAAAACGAAAAATCAATAAATAAATAATAACAGATCATCTCGGAAAGAAGAAAATTAAATAAAAATATATATTAATTGGTCCTAATCAAACAACAAGCCACCAACTTCTCTATCTCTACATCTCTATAAGCATCAATAATGCTAGGGGTGTAATGTGAATATATAAAATTTTGGTCTCTTTAAGCATTAAACACTTGTACTTGATGCTTAGGTTCTTTCTTATCTAAAATGATACTTCA